TTCTGAAAAGCCAAATTCCCTCACCGCATGTTTGATTGTATCACTGTACAGGTTGGGATAAAAAGTACAACACTCCTTGACTTGCAGAAGCTGACTGAGTCCAGTTCCAGCTGAAAGAAATGCCTGAAACATCTGATGTCTTTCTGACAAAGTAAGGCAGATGTTTTTAAAGTTTTTCAGGTGCCTGGCACATATCTTAAAGTATGCGTGTTTACTTTCAAAACGCATAGTCCACACTCTGATTAAATGGCCAAATTTCAATATTAGTGCTGGATAGTGCCGCAGGAAATGGTGTTTTGGTTTTAGTGGACTTCCAGGAAATAAACCCTTTCGTGATTCCAAATATTCTTGGATTATAATGTCAAGATAGGCTACCTGTGACAGTGAAATCTTTTGTGCGCAAATCATGTCAACGATATCTTTAAGTTGGAGAGTTAACTGCCACACATTATCTTCTGCATTTTCAATTTTGTCACCAATTAATACAGGCAGCAACCTTAAAAAGTTCCAATTCTGAATGGCCTGACCTGAAATCTTGGATGCATCTGAGTTGACAGTGCATGGCTTTGAGAGAGCATCAGCTTCTTTGTACTTGAACTGTCTAGTCCGTCGGTTTAAAAGTGAATATGTAAACCATTTCTTTTTCTTATTGAAGTACTTCAAGTACAGTGCAACATCATAGGATAAAATACCCTCAAAGATGTCATGGCCCAAACAAGGTGGGAGTCCAGGCTGGCAAACATGAAAAGCTTTAAGAGTATTAAAGACTGAGTTTACCTTTATGCCTTTGACTTCTCGGTAGTCTTCTCCAAGGTCACCAACAGCAGTATCGTAGCTTTCAGGGGTGCGCTGTGGACCACAGACATTAGGATCATTACTTTCAAACTCATGTCGTGTGATTTCACAATACCTGCAAAAATACTGAGAACGACTGAAGTTTTCAGTGAACCCTCCAATGCCATGTGAACCCAAATTATCACCAGCAATGCAGTAAACAGCTGCTTTCACAGTTTCACTCCCCACAGTTATCCCATTTTCCTCCAAATCTTTTAAATCCGCTAACATCTCTGACAAAACTTTTGACCATCCAAACTGTTTTATGTCACTCTCTACACACAACAAAACAAGGGACATGTGATCAGTGCTGGACCGCACATGGACAGGTAAGTTTGCAACAGAGAGATAGACAGCAACAACTTTGTGTTTTTTTTTAGAGGAGCCGAGGGGGTTGACAACCTCGAATGCGTCCTGGTACAGGATTAGCTCGAGGGATCCGGGGTTCTCCCTGAAAAACTGGTTGGACTTAAAACTCTGTCCATCAGTTATGTCTCCAAAAACATCTGAATCTGTTTCATAAGACTGTTGTGACACTGAGTTCTTCCAGAGTTGGGATTCTAATAGGTTATTTAGTCTTCATTTAACTGGTACATAGTAAGCAAACCGTGGTGTCCTATTGTCATCATTTCCCAACGGTACTTTTACAGGCTCTATGTATTGAAACATTTTTTTGAATGTCTGAGCTCTTGAATATATTGTTCTCATTGGTCCTTGATGGCAAACAGAGAACAGATCTGAATCTTTGACACAATCACAGATTTTAGCGATAGCATCATCTGCGAGGCACATGTCTTCCTTTAGAAGTGAGTGTAGTTTGTTTAGTGTATAATCCTGACCCAACTCATGGACATTTTGAATCTCCTCAACAATCGTCTGTACTGTTGAAGCTGGAAGAAGGAGCTGCCCTTGTAGTTTTAAGTAGAACAAACACACATTTCTTAGAAAGGTATCGCTAAAATTCTCTGGCATTTCAGTGCTTTCATTTGTTGGTGTATTATCTGAGCTCTGAGGAGCATCTTCACATGCACTGACAACAGTAGTCTGAGGGACAGTTTCCCTGTACATGTCACTTATGCTATCGATCAAGCATGTTCTATGTTTCCTGGACATATGAGCAGTAAAGGAGGATTTCACTGTGAAAATATTTTTACAACCAGCTATGGGACACATCACAGGTCGCCCCTCAATAATATGCTCCTTTAAGTGGGCTACAAGTTCATTCACTGTGTGAAACTGGCGCTCACACATGGAAATGGCGCATTTTAGGTCTGTAACAACTGCTCTAGCAGTAACAGAGGGATGTGGAGCATTGTGAACACGATAAAAAATGAGCTTTAAAAGCTGCATAAGTACAAAATGTTCGCTTGCAGTCGCAGCTGACACATTTGAAAATGCAACGTGGTTCATTCCTATGAACTCTACAATGCAGCACATAACCCCTTGTTGTCTCAAGTGTTTTACTGCAAAAAGCACAGGTAATCATTTTTAGTAACTAAGGTAAGTACAGCATACACCAGCGTTTGATAACTGACCGTTAAGCATCAGCGACATTCATTTAGACAAGAAAAAAAAAACGAGTCAATAGTTATATTATGAAAACGGCAAATAATTATATCAGATAACCATCACACTGCTAAGGCATTTACACACAACTACAGGCGAAACGAGCTAACGTCTGCATCCGCTGAGCGCCAAAATTTGAAAAGAGAAAAAAAGACGTCTCCCGCTCGACCACATAACGGACGTGTACATGAACAAATCCGCGGCGAAGGATGTAACTGAATGACCAATACACCAAAAAATAAAAGTTAGTCACACACGAAAAACCACAAGCTAACAGAAAGTCTACTTCCCGGGAGCGGCAATATTTGAAAAAGGAACTTCAACGTTTATCGTGTGACTGCTAGACCAGAGCTAGCGAGCTTTGCAACACCGGAAAGTTAGCAACTACAGAAAAAATGTCAAGCTAGCATCTTATCTTTAGGTCAACAGAGTTAATGATGAAGCGGATTAAGTTTGAAAAGCATAATTTAACTTACCAGTGCTTTATGTCGTGTTCCAACCGCTTCCAAAGCTGGCAGACTGATGGACGTGGGGTCATAAGCTTGTCTGTGAAAGCCGCGTGAAATCTTCCGGAGACGTTACATGTGATGCATTCAATGTTAACTCCGTCAAACGAGAAACGAGAACACTTCATATCATCCAAAGAAAGTGCTATGATGTGTTCAAATGACAGATCAAGAAACGGAATTTTTAATTTTTGAAGAGAAATGTAAAGCAGTGAAGATGATAAATGCTAGTTTTATTACTACTACTAATTCATAGTAACTACTACTGTTACTATGAATTAGGATTTTGAGAATTGTGATTAATATAACAAAACAGGACGACTCAGACACACTATATGTCCTTAATTTATTTATCTATTTAATTTTAACCAGGACTCGCTAAAGTAGGCCTGCTATATGTTTTGTATTAAGGAAAGTCAAGTTGAGTTTAGTAATATCTATTGTAGTCAATGACCGTAGTATTATAATTTAGACATAAGTGATAAACACAAAGACGTTGCTTTAAACCTTTAGCTAAGTAGTAATTGTTAGTTCTGCTCTTTTATGTTTGTTAAAAAAAATATATACTTTTTTCAATCATATGATAGTTTTAGTTTTCGGCCTATATTTTAATTATTTAAAAAGGTATATAACATGAATAAATGTTCTTAAATTGTACAGTTCATCCCTGTAAAAATGAAGCTCCCAACAGGAATTACCCATTATTTTAACACCTTAATGCTGTAACTCTAACCTCATTGTATTGTTTATTGCATTACAGGTTTTCTCTGTCTATGTTACAGCAATCTGTAGATTCTACAAAGAAATTTGATTCTTTTCACATAATTTTACTTTAAAAATAACAGTTTTGTTCTGTATTTTACAAAAAATAGTTGTCAAATAAACAGGTTTTCTTTGTTTTTCTGTTTACATTTTTATGATGTCATGATTTTACAGCATTTCACTGTCAATTTCACAGACATTTTTTACAGTGCATGTAAAGATTTAGACAGGTCTATCAGCCTTTGTTAAATGAGACAAACTGTTACTTACACTAGGGGTAAGAGCACATTCACTGTTTATGCCCTAGGCCATCAATGTGAGTTTTTCTTTGAGATTATACTGACTGTTATTATCTAAGATACCTCTGCTCTTGGGACAGGTTTGATGACTCAGAAGGGGAGTCCTTCGCCATCTGCCCCCAACAGGGCTCTAGGGGAACCAGCTGGCCTCCTGAACGACCAGAGAACTCAGACAACCAGAGGAATGTCAGACGAACGAGCCAAACCTCCATCCAGATTCCTCCTGTGACTATCACCTCCCCACCTGGAGAGACCACCCTCATACAAAGTCAGTGCCAACAGAATGCCTACAGAATGCACACACAATGTGTCTGAGATTACTTTCATGGCAGCTAGTACACTACAGGTCTTTTTCATACTTACAATTTTATAGTACAGTTTCATACATTCATTTTTGTATTGGTTCCTATTATTTGTTCAACCTGACACTATTATTACCACAGTACATAAGGGGACAGAACAAAATGCATGTGAGATGTAGACATAAATCAGGTTTTGTATTATAATATTAGTTATTTTCTTTCAAAGTTTAGGGCTTTGTTTGAACTACATTTGTTGCACAGAAGGGGCCTGGGGCCTCATGTACAAAGACTTGCATGGATTTCATACTGAAACCTGGCGTACGCTACAATCCAGTAAACTCTGCACACACAAAAAAATCCTGATGAATAAAACTGAGTGTACGCCAAGCACATTTCCATTGTGCATCCCACTCAGCGTGGAATTGACCGCACAAGTTGGAGTACCAGACTCGTCCCTCTCCACGCCCCCCATTTCATTATGCAAATTAGTATAAACAGGGCCTGCAGGTGAGATTCCCCTCTCTGCATGATCAGATAACAGTAACAAGCCTTGAGTAAGAAAGGTCAGAAGAGGAACTTCACAGAATGTGAGTTGGAGACGCTCTTCAATGACAATGAAGTCGTGCCAAAATAGTCCTTTTGGCACGCTGTCCTCTGGCAGCAACAGCAAACACAGGAGGAGTGAGTGGGAGAGTGTGTGTGAGGCGGTGAATGCTGTGGGGTCAGAGCAGCACACACTTACAGAAGTCAAAAAGAAGTGGTCGGACATCAAGGTGGACATCAAGAGGAGGACTGTTGCCCACTGCCTAAGCATGGCCAAAACAGGCAGGGGGACAGAAGAGGATGAACTCACCCCGTTTGAGCAGCGTCGCCGCTATTGTGGGTCGGATCACCCCCAAGGTAAATATATTTTGTGTATTTGTGTAACTAACAAATTTATTCATTATACGGGTCATACAATAATCTGCTCACAGCCAAGCAAGGTAAAGGTTCTTGCGTAATCATGCCAGGATATTAAAGAGGAAATCAAGACTTTGACTCATGTTTAATTACTCAATTTATTATTTTCCAGCAGACAATAAGGCAGGAGAAGACTGTGAGACGCAGTCCCAGCCTCGTGTCACACACACAGGAGATTCCTCCAGCCTCCGTGTCCACCACCGATCCTCTGGATCCTCCACAACAGCCAGCTTCTGATGCTCGTCCAACTGGTCGTGTCCTCATCCGTGCTGTACTGGAGTCACATGAGGACATTGCGAGGGCAATCAGCAGCATCAATGAGTGCCTGGACCAATTGATAAATGTTCTCAGACATTAATACTACATTAAATGCATTTATCAACAAGTGAATTCTGCCTATTTATATGGTTGAAATCACATGTTGCCGGGCCCAAATCAAATCAAATCAAGTTTATTGTCGTTTTGCTGTACAGTAGTACAGGGAGTAGTCCAGGGAGCGGACACTGGAGAGTAGGAGCGACGGTCCTGCTGGTCTGGAGGTTAACCTTTAGCCTAGCATGGATCCCGGCTCTCTTCCCCCTTCTTTGTTTACGTTCGCACCGTTTGAGCTTGCTTCTCTCTCGGGTAACTGCCGGCGTGGTCTCCAATAGGACTCCGCATTGGAGCAGCATGTCCAAATCACAAGCGATCGCCACAATTCCAGCACTGTTCACTGTGCTGATGCCCAGCAAAGTCTCCCGGCCAAAAGTCTTGCGGAAAGAATGTCTGGGATAGGTAAGACACTCAAAATGTTCACGTTCATTGTCTCCTGAAGGGGCCGCTGTGTCTATGTGCGGCGCCATCCCTATGGCAACCATCAGAATAGCCTCCTGGGCAGGACTGGCATCGATGCGTCCAGTATCTGGTCATCTGGTGGGGGGGATGTGCTGCTCTGGCAGTGGGATGGCGTGCCAGTGTGTCTTATTGTGGAGGATGCCACATGCCATTACAATGCAGCACACCCCCAGTCCAGTCCAGGCATTGCCACCACCCCTTCAGCATGCCAACTGTCCTCTTGACAACTGATCCAGTGCTTCAATGGCATCATTGTACCTCCGCTTTTGGTCAGTCTGGGGGTTGGTGAGAGCGGTCATCAGCTAGGTTGTCAGTGGGTAGCCACGGTCACCTGGGGTCAATTAAACAGAGAGTCGACATCGACGGGAATATTTTGTACAAAATGAATTTTCCATTTGGTAATTTAACACACCACTAACAAGGATCACACACTATTGTGAGTGAATGCAGTTATGCAGTGGGAAAAATGTGACACTGATCAAGTCACTTTATTCATTTTTTGCACGTTTATTGACATAAGTACTTTACACACAGAGACGATAATTGGCTCGTTGGAAAGCTCTAACTCTCTAGTTTTTGGATAATTTCATCCCACACAGCTGGCATGGCTCGGCTCAATGTCGACTGGCAAAGTCCCGATCGGTCGGCCAGCTCCCTCTGAAATGACCCTGTGGCTGGGAAGCCCAGTGTGTTCAGCACCTGTATGGGCACAGGTAGGACATGGCTCCTGTGCTCCAGTAAAGGCTGCAGCTCCACACACAGTTCCAAGAGGATTGCCCTTGGGAACTTAAAGCAGCTGATGAGCCAGTCCTGAGACAAAAAAAATCCTCTGAGTCTCTGAAAAGATGTTCTCTTCCCACTGCTGTATTGGCAATATTCTCCAACAGTGCCAAAGCTGCCATGGTTGTTAACGGTATTTTCTGCACCATTTAACTCATACTTCTATATCCACTCATCTAATTGCAAACGCCTGGGTGTTGAATGAATTGTTCATCTGTGTATCTCTGATGTGCACATCACTTTGAGAAATGCCCTTTTTCACCTTATTGACAGTTTCCCAGTGTTAAAGAGTGATTGTGTCACGGTTTGAGATGCACCCCGGAACCTTGGTGTGGCTAAGTGTTTCTCCACAGGACTGTTATGTTCAGGGAATGCACCTGTGGATACCCAGCAGTATGTACTGTGAATGAATAAGCGTGTTACTAAAAAGTTCTGAAACTGTTACTGAGTGTGCGCGCATTATTGCTTCGTGGTTATAACACCTTTTTGGTGACGAGGATTAAGCCGACAGTGGAGTTAGGACCAAAGAAGATGTTTTAGTGCAGCGGTCCCCAACCACCGGGCCGCGGACCGGTACCGGGCCGTGGGTCATTTGGTACCGGGTCGCACAGATAGAATAAAAACGTTTTATTGGTTTATTTTTATTTCCAGCGGAGTCTGCAGGGTGTTTTATTTTGAAACATGACTAGCTCGTCTTCCCGTCACTTCCGTTTGTGCTCGTTTCCCGAACTTGACTGTCAGTTTTTATGCCCGGCTGCTAAACTGCTGCCCCACCATGATGCCTCCTGTTACAAAAGGACAATAAATTCTAATAACTTGTTTAACTGTAAATTAAATTGTATAATTCATCCTACATCCACCCAACCGGTCGAGGCAGATGGCCGTCCCTCCCTGAGCCTGGTTCTGTCGGAGGTTTTTTTCCCCCGTGGGGGTTTTCGGTTCCTTCCCACTGTTGCAGACTGCTTGCAGACTGCTGAAGCTTATAGGGAATCCAGATGTTTTGGATTGTTGGGTGTTTCTGTCTCTGCCTTTGTGAAGCGCTATGAGATGACTGTTGTTGTAAATATGCGCTATACAAATAAAATTGAATTGAATTGAATTGAATTGAATTGAATTGAATTAAACGAAACCGTCAGTCAAAAACAAACGTCTCAGGAGAGCTGCTTTGAAAGTGGGAGAGACTTGATACTGAGACAGGAGAAAAAGTAAACATATTAAGCAATAAAAATGAATTTTATTCATTTATGAAACTTTTCAATCGAAAAAAAAACAATTATTATTTGTTGTAATGACCGGTCCGTAGAAAAATGTCTTGCTTAAAACCGGTCCGTGGTGCAAAAAAGGTTGAAGACCGCTGTTTTTTTTAGTGTAGTTAGCAACATGGCTACAGTCGGCTTGTTTACTGAATTCGCCGATAGAGACGGCGGCTGGATTGAATGTGTCAAAAGGCTGGAACACTTTTTCCTGGCAAATGACATTCATGACGAAGGGAAGAAAAGGTCAATTCTTCTCAGTGTGTGCGGAGAAAAGACGTACAAGCTGATACGTAATTTAGCAAAGCCTCGGAAATCTGGAGATCTCGGTTTCAAAGAACTGGTAACGTTGGTGCAGAATCATCACTGCCTGAAACCCTCTGTGATTGTTCAACACTTCAAATTCCACACTCATTCATGTAAGCTGGGGGTTTCAGTCGCTGCGTTTGTGGCTGAGCTAAGACAGATATCCGAGCACTGTGAGTTGGGAATAGGCGCTTGTTAGGGGGAAACAGCACTTAACTTCAAAAAGGCGCCGGACATCACTCAGGCAATGGAAACGGCAGCTAACAACACTAAGGACATTCAAAAAGCTAATGGCAGTATGCAGCCAATCACTGTTCATCGTGTGTCCAAGGAAAAGAAAGACAAGCCACTAAAGTCAGTTAAGTGCTACTGATGTGGGGGAACACATTTTGCCAATGACTGTGGTTTTAATCTATCTAGTATCTGCCATAACTGCAGGAAGAAGGGGCACATAGCCAAGAAGTGCAGAGGCGGGCCTAAAGTTTAACCAGAAAAGAAGGGGAAATTGAAACCCAAGTGGACCACACACCACCTGCAGAGAGAGGCGCCTGAGGAAGAGTGTGCATTCAACATATTTAACCTCAGTGAGCCAAGAGCAGAGCCAATCTGTGCAACACTACAGGTGAATGGAAAACATGGAGGTGGACACAGGAGCCTGAACTTAAGTGATAAGTCAAGCCACCTACCACAGATTGTGGTGCTCGGGAGGGGCGCCTGCACTCAAAGAGACTAATATAAGACTGAGACAGTAGGGTGCCAGGATCGCTCGGTGGGTAGGGTGGGGGACCCATGTACAGGGGCTATAATCCCCGACGCAGCGGCCACAGTTCGATTCCAGCCAGTGGCTCATTTTCTGCATGTCATTCCCCCACTCTCCTCCCCACGTTTCTCTGTCTGTCTTCACTGTCAACTATCATTAAAGGCAGAAAAGCCCAAAAACTATCTTTTATGTGTCATAACAAGGCCAGGAGGCTACAGTGGGGCTACTGGTGGTGGAAGGAGAGGGGCCTAGTTTGCTGGGACATGACATCCTATAGAAAATCTGCCTGAACTGGAGAAAAATCAGGTGTGTTACAGTGATGGAGATATACTTGCCAAGAACGCAGACGTGTTCTAGGACGAGCTAGACACCATCCAGGGTACAACAGTTAAGTTGTGTGTGGACCCCAATGGACAGCCACGCTTTTTCAAACCACACACAGTGCCATACGCCATAAAGGCCAAAGCGGAGGCAGAGTTGGAAAGACTGCAGCAGCTAAGTGTCATCAAGCCTATTGAGTTCTCTGACTGGGTAGCCCCGATTGTGCCAGTGCTAAAAGGGGATAAGGAGGCGTGTGTATGTGGTGATTACAAACTGACAATAAATCAAGCCTCTCAGCTTGACTCTTATCCACTGCCCCGAGTGGAGGATCTGTTTGCCACGCTGGCAGGTGGGCAAACATTTACATAGCTGGACATGAGTCATGCATACCAGCAACTGCTGTTGGATGAAGAGTCTAAGAAACATGTGACAATCAACACCCACAAGGGACTGTTTAAGTACAACTGCTTAGTGTTTGGCGTCGCTTCCAGTCCAGCTATCTTCCAAAGCACAATGGACAATCTCCTGCAAAACATTCCCCATGTAGAGTGGAGAATGTCTACTTAGACAACATCTTGGCAACAGGCAGAACTGAAGAGGAGCATCTGCAAAATCTCTGTCAGGTGTTGAAGAGAAAGGCAAAAGCTGGGCTGCATTTGAAACGCAGCAAGTGTGTTTTCCAAGCTCCAACTGTCACCTACCTGGGCCAACGGATTTCAGCTCAGGGCCTGTCTCTGCTGGAAAAGAAAATGAAGACGACATAGGAGGCTCCAAGTCCAAAGAATGATGCAGAGCTCAGGTCATTTTTGGGCATAGTGAACTACTATGGGAAGTTTTTGCCTGATCTTTCTACTGTGCTCACTCCCCTCTACAAGTTATTACACAAGCTCAAGAGAAAGCATTTCAGCAGGTAAAAGAACTCTTACACTCAACACCCCTGCTCGTGCACTTTGATCCAGACAAGGACGTCATCTTATCCTGTGACACCTCCCCGTATGGCGTAGGAGCTGTCCTTGGAGGACGGCACAGAAAAGCCTATTGGGTATGTGTCACGCACATTTACAGCAGCTGAACAAGGCTACTCGCAGCTCGAGAAGACTGGGCTAGCAGTAGTTTTTGCTGTGAAATGTTTTCGTCAGTACGTGTACGGCCGTCCTTTTACTATCTTTACAGACCATAAGCACCTGCTGGGTCTGTTTAGTGAGTCTAAAGGTATCTCACCCATGGCTTCAGCATGTGAACAGCGCTGGGCATGAAAATTGTCAGTGTACCAGTATCACAAAGAGTACAAGGCAGGGAGTGAAAATGCAAATGCAGAGGCTTTCAGCCATCTCCCCCTCCCTGTCACGGCCAATCTGTGTAGCCTACCCCGAGAGACTGTTAGACTATTTACCTCCCTTGTGACAGCCAAACAAATCAAAATGTAGACTGACAGAGACCCAGTGCTGTCACAGGTTAAGCCCTGGCTCATGCAGGGCTGGCCAGCAGCAGTTGAGCAGGAAAAGCATAAACCTTATGCTAGGCGTCAGCAGGAGCTCAGTGTTCAAGATGGCTGCATCCTCTGGGGATCCAGAGTCATTGTCCCACCTCCAGGAAGAGCACAGATCATGGAAGTACTGCATGAAGCCCATCCAGGGGTGTCTCATATGAAAGGACTCACCAGGTCCTTTGTGTGGTGGCCGGGGTTGGACGCTGCCTTAGAAGAGAAGGCATGTTCACAATGTCAAGAAAACCAAAAGATGCCAGCAGCGACTCCACTCCACCAATGGGAGTGGCCGAGCCGCCCATGGTCCGGATTCCATCTGGATTTTGCTGGTCCATTTATGGGGCACATGTTCCTGGTGTTCGTGGACTCACATTCCAATTGGCTCGAAGCACACATAATGTCAAACATCACAGCTTCAGTCACCACTGATACACTCAGAAGCATCTTTGCTACACATGGTCTGCCAGATACTGTTGTCACTGACAATGGCCCCACTTTCACCAGTGATGTTTACAAGGAGTACATGGAGCAGAACGGGATCCGTCACATTTGCACTGCACCATATCACCCTGCCTCCAACGGCTTAGCAGAATGTGCAGCTGAGACACTGAAAGCGGGTCTATGCAAGATGTCAGGACATTCACTGGAAGTGAAGCTTTCATGTTTCCTGTTCCAGTACCCGATTAGTCCTCACTCAACCACCGACTTGACCCCAGCCAAGATGCTATTGGGGAGAAAGCCCAAATCTCATCTGGATCCACTTCACCCAGATGTGGGAGCCTGACTTGCCCGGTCGAGACCTAGACGAGAACTGCATGCTAGAGAGCGGTTGTTTAAGCCAGGGGACGGTGTTTGTGCCAGAAACTTTGGCAGTGGCTCACTGTGGCTGCCAGGTATCATTCACCGTTGTACTGGTCCTATGTCTGTTATTGTGGATTTGTGGGATGGCAGAATGGTTCACAGACACCTTGAGCATGTGCGAGCCCACATTGATGGAGGGGAAGGGGCCTCAGAATGTTCCACATGAGGACAGTGGGGACAGCTCTATGGACTGTGTGGTGGTACCAGTTACCCCTGAACACACTGATGAACTGCCGGTGCAAGTTGGTTTACCTTCACCAGCCCCAAATCTTCCAAAGGAGCACCATCTGCTCCTGAAACTGTGAGCTCTACAGCAGAACTGAGAAGGTCAAAGAGGCAGTCCAAGCCTCCAGATAGACTGAGGTTGTGAACTGTTATGTAAAGAAACGTTTGACTTCTGTTGGAAAAAAAAACAAAACTTGTTGGTCAGTGTTAAAATAAACAAATAAATACAATAGAAAAAATGTGTTTATACAGGTTGGGGGAAAAAATGTATACAACAGGGTCAGTTTAAGTGCTACATATTCTTGCTATGTGTTTTTGGTGAAGTGTCAAAATGTAGCTAAGTGACAACGTTGTTTTTATGCACCTGTGGATACCCAGCAGTATGCATTGTCAATGAGTAAGCGTGTTACTAAAAAGTTCTGAAACTGTTACAGTGTGCGTGCATTATTGCTTCGAGGCTATAACACCCAGCATCACCATCACCAGCAAGTGTCGCCAATGGCTCGAAAGCAATAGAAACGTGCGTACGCCAGTCAAGAAGTTAGCATGGAGGACCGCACATTTCTACGATCATTTCACTCTTGACACATCTAAAAGTGAGCATGGAAAAGTGCATACGCCACACGTTTGTGCGTACGCACCTTTTGTACATGAGGCCCCTGGTTATTTTTGCCTTTTCACAATAGAACGAATAATACCTGGGAAATTTTTTCCATTGGAACTCTCTTCACAATGTCTTGTTTTGAGGAGATAAGAAATAGAGAACATGATAGAAAGATACAAAATATAGAAAAACAATTGCAAAAATGAAATTATCTAATGATTTTAGATGTACTAGCACGTATATGCAAGTTCCAGCACCCGACACAGCTTGGAACCAAAAGCACACCATGTTTGGGCGAAGTCAAATTTTGTCATTTGATCACTGTTAGTTTTAATCAACAAAACTTTAAGACATTTTAGTCAATAGTCTCTACAATGATACAGTAGACAAACTCTCCTCAGTAAATCTGTTTAACGTTGTAATTTCACACCTCTGCCTGTTTAAACAGAAACGCTCTCTCTGTCTGTTTGTCCTCCTCACATAGCATTAGCATTGCCACCACAGCAACTTTCCACTAAAGAACAGCAACTCATTCAGAAACACACTTAGATTACAAACACACTTGACACACAACTTATACTGGCTCTATCTTATGATCTCTGTTTGTACAGATGCCGTAGTGCGGGCATCATAGACAGCCTGACCTAAATGACTTGAATTCTGAAGGAGCCCAACTTAGACCATATTATCAGTGGACTGGAACAATCTAAAGTTTAGATTTTGTAAAATGTGTTTCTTTTGACAGCAATATAAAAGCCACATTAGCATTACATCCACATCACCTGATAATGTTACATTAACTTACATTTTTGGAAATGTCGGTTTCTGCGGACACGTCTGCAGCAACAAATCAGGGACAGTCTGAAGTTAGGTGGTGATTATAGATGCTGATTTTACTTATTATGAAATTGTATCCAATGCTTCCAGTTACTGTTTTTTGTACATAGGCAAATGACCAACCATATGATTGTAGGTAGGTGGGGACTGATATCTGTTACAGCATGGCTTTCCTTATATATTCCTTATACATATATAGGGTGAAGATTCTTTGCGGTATCATAATGTGCCAAGCAAAGGTGGACAAAGAGATTACTTTTTTTTCTGAATTGCTGTTCTGAGGACAATAAATTATGTCCTGTAATGATTGTTGGGAGATGTTATTCAATGCTACTCTGCCATGTCTGACATTGTTGGTGTCTCTGATTATCTATCCTCACAGTGAACAGTATTGACTGTGAGACAGTGCCCATGAATGAGAAGACATTGGAGGATCTAGCTCAAAGTGGACCCAAACCTATTCTGCCTTACAGTTCGATGTTCATCTTTGGACAGGCCAATCCGTGAGTCACCTCAGCCTCCTTTATCCACCTGTTCACCTCCTTGTAGGACCTCCATTATGCATTGGAAGTTAGACTATGGAGAAATTGATGTTTTATTTTACATCTATAAAAATGTCATATCAAAACATGCTAAGATAACATGATATACCCATACTACACCAGAGTTAGAGCTAAGGTCTAGCAAGGCTGTATGTATTGAACTGTTCCTATCAGTCCAGCCTTCCAAGCAGCAAAATGCATTAGCTCTCAGCTTACTCATCTACTGTCTCTGTCAATGGAGTATAACATCACACACACACACACACACACACACACACACACACACACACACACAGAGTTTATATATTGAACACTGACAGGAACAATAATAGTGTTAAAAGTTGACTTTAGTGCTAGTGATATGAACTTTATATGTGACCCATCTGCATGGAAACAGTCGCATTGCGACTTGGCCTATATCCGAGATACAGCCCGATATATGTTAACACATGATAAAATATTGATTTTGGGTTTATTACTTAGATCGGTCCATTTAGTTGTTTTCTACATGTAGGTAACATATAATAATGTAAAAGTGAAAATTTTCTACATTTTTTAAGGTATTTTCTGAACGATGTCCACATCGCTCGCGGTGACGAGTGACTTCTTTCTGGTGTTACTGCTCATGCACACTGACGGTATTTGACAGCGAAATGGAGCATAATGTCGAATTTACTCAATTATGATGCTGATACGGATAAATTGTGGGTATTATTGGATGAGTGCCTTGTCACTGATCAAGATGAAGATACAGATCTGTCTGACAGTGACACAGATGCGGAAGAAGAGGTGTGTTTGTCAGGGTCCGATGATGAATTTGACTTGACTAGAGGAGGATGAGAGACTGCAGTTGAGAAAGCAAAGGCAGCTCCTGAAATATGTAATACGTAAGTACCAACCTGAGCTGTAAGTTTGATGCATGTGAATGCCTCTGAGCCTGTGATTTAAGCTAGTTTAATTTTTAAAAAATAAAGATATAGTTTAGTGTTAAGCAGCAGAAAGACACAATTTTAAAATGAATGCTAGAAAATTAGTGTCATGTGGACTGCAGTAAAAATCACTGTGCCAAACACTAAACACTGTATTTATGCATAAATGACAGCATGAATCAGTGTTCAAATGAATGCTTGCAACATGTTTATTCCACTGGAAAATTTCGGTTTTACAATGAACAAAGTTTCAATATATTTATTGATAAAGTGTAAATTTGTTAAATATCTAATGCTGAACAAAATACTGTTTTATGTTTGTGAATTTCAACTTTTTGGTCTCATTAATTGAAAAATTAAATAAATTGAAAAATTGATTTATTATTCACAGATAAACATGTCATGAATCAATCTGTGTTCTTAGATGCTTGGGGAAAGCTTTTGCCATTCATAATCACCAACAGGCCAATGACAGACCTTTGCTGGATCTGCCAAACAACCTTATCTAAACAGGGGCAGAAGACCAGAAATGTGACCAGCTCAGACAACTGGAGGAACATCTTAGGGTAGTCCATCTGGAAAGGTTGCTTTACAACAATATGGTAAACCAGCCAAAGAGGACCTGCCAAGCCTAAGATGTGCATCATATAAACTTACAAGCACTGACAATAATCACTTGTGTTATACTGTCAGTCAGTTGCAAAAACTGTCAATTAATAATAATTAGTACGTTACCAATTACTATAAAACTGGATAGTGCAAGATGACACATTACAATGATACATTTTGGGCATTTAGTCAAATTACAAAATTAGTGATCTGTTAATGTTATGTCGTTTTAATGGAAAATGCACACTAATTTTAGCTAAAAGACTTCTGCAAGACCGCCCCATATACCCATGCAGTTTCCATGCACTACGGCTTTGACTACGCACAGCAGGTTCGTCTGCCGAGTGACCCCTTAGCGCCAGGTCCAGTCTACTTCCCTTTTCCAAGGAAAGTGGGATTGCTTGGAATTTGCTGTGAGGGCATTTCTCTGCAGATTAACTTTCTGATTGATGAAACCCATCTTATCTCTAAAGGGTCAAATGCAGTGGTATTTTACTTGCACTATTTCTTTGAGAATTTTGGACTTGGAGAAACCAGTCCTGATTTCCACTGTGACGATTGCTCTAACCAAAACAAAATTTGCTTTTTGTGGTTTTGTGCATGGCGTGTTGCAGGTGGTTTACACCAGTTCATAACTCTCAATTTACTAGTGTCTGGACATACCAAATTTGTCCCTGATGGATCATTTGGGCTTCTGAAAAAGGCATTCAAATGCCTTGCGGTGTCGGAGCTGTCTGAGCTGGACACGGTGGTGAATGAGAGCGCTTTTGTGAATTCAGCACAGTTGGATGGCACCGAAGACGGAACCTCATATGTACCTGTTGGCAATTGGCAGTGTCATTTGGATCCCTGTTTCAAACCATCACTAGGCATCAAGAAGTATCATCACTTCAGGTATTGCTCAAACAAAATTGTAACATGTAACTGTATAATTGTATTGACACTGAACAAGAAGAAGTTATTTGTGTACATGTATGTCATTATGGCAAATAAATATTATCTTAATGTGCATTTTTGTGGGAAATGTTTTTAATATTGATTTTACGCTGCTGATCCTGGAATTGCAAGAGTGATGATTTCTGCAGACAGCAAGGAAGAAGAAGTCTGTTGTTCAAGTCTAATGTGCTGACCTACAAAACTCACCACTAACCCCTGTAACTCCTTCTGGACTTGATAGCAAATGACAGTGGTACCTGTATAATAACATTAGACATTTTGTCAAAGAGGAGTATAGGGAAACGATGTGTCCCAAACCAAGTGAGACAATGAAAGGAATGAACACTTCTGATGGACACGAAGATTACAGAACAGGCAACACAGGCACGAACATCTACCAGTGGTCAGAGAGGTCAGGGTGGTCAAGTTTAACGTTCATTTCATACTGACAATGAGCAACAACACATTTAGGAACAGTTACAGATATGTCTTATGATATATGGAAAAAGTGACAAATCTCCCATTTACTACATTCCCAACTCATGGATATCAACTTTTATAAATTGTCTTTTCTTTCCAAAATTGTTCCATCCATCCATTATCTATACACCGCTTAATCCTCACTTGGGTCGCAGGGGGGCTGGAACCTATCCCAGCTGACTTCGGGAGAAGGCAGGGGACACCCAGGACAGGTCGCCAGTCTATCACAGGGCTACACTTAGAGACATACAACCAAGCACATTCACATTCACACCTACGTGTCACGGCCCAGTAGCCGTAAAAACAGGTGTGCGGGACCCAAGCGAGAGAGAGGTGAGTTAAGGAGGTAAAAGGTTTATTCGGGAGACCCGGGGAGTGAGGGGGGCACCAGGAGGCAGGGGAGGGATCCGGGGGTCCACGGTGCAGCCTGAAATCCAGTGGTGAGGGTGGTGTCTCGTGCCAGTGCTCGTGAGGGGAGATGTGAGGGCGGCGTGA